CATTGGTGCAGTGCTCTCGGCAATCGTTTTATGGTACGCATACAATAATCACATTGGTACAGTGTTCTCGACAATCATTTTATGGTACGCATACAATGATCGCATTGGTGCAGTGTTCTCGGCAATCATTTTATGGTACGCATACAAAATTCAAATTGATCACATGATACGCATACAATTTGATTCAACACTGGTTAATTTAATAGAAAAAAAAGGCATTGGTTAACAGAAACATAGATGTTATAGGTGTGGTTTCAGCTGACAGAAATATGTATATTTGCATTTATTCTCCAGTTCAAGATGATATGTAGATGAAGAGGCAATACCTGCTGATAATAAAGTTTCTTAGGTTGCCTATGTTTAAAACCAGACAGTAAATCCCTCAGTGTGCCATCATATGTACATCGCAGTGCAGTCCCAGGACCATCCCGGTACCTGACGAGAAATGAATGGAGCATGTCAACAGTTTAAACATCCTAGCAAATTCACCCTGACAAGGTACAAATGTAGTCTGATTATGACTTTTCAATAACAATTAATCGTTTACAAAAATTTATATCCATCAGCTACAGTACAAGAGCCTGGTCTGTGAATTCAGTTTGGAAATGTATACCAGTATTTTATGCTGGTGAAATAATAGAATTTCTTACCCTTGATTCTTAAAAAACTGTAGAAGCATTGGATCAGTATTCAACTTTGTTGCTACCGCCTTTGCAACCTAGAAAGAATCAAAAATAAATTAGAAAACACTCCCACCTTCACTCCCGGCAATTACGAAATTATTTTGCAAGAGCTTGATTGAATAAATTTCACTTTAAAAAACTTAATTTGTCACGGTGTGTCTGTTTCGAAAGTACATGTTGTTTTTACAGCAAGTCTCAGAAATATTGGGGCAGCCAATTTGCAAACTCGCTAGCGAATTGGCTAACTGCTTGGGTTTTGACTAAACGGTTGACTTTCGAATCTCGCTGGCGCCGTCTTGAATAAATCAATGGATTAATCGCTTATCATATTATTACTTGTACGTCAGCTGACTGTGGCTATTCTCAGACTTATCAGGAAAACTACTTATACATTATTACGCCTCGCAAAGCACATCATTCAGGGGAATCCAAACATGTACCTGG